CCCATATATTCGCAACATTTAAAACAAGCACTGCGGTTCTGTTTTTAGTTTCTCCAAATATTCGTGTCATATTATATACTCAGGTTCAAATAGAGACGTTTAATTTTCAGCTTTTCTATCCCATACTAGTTTGCAGAAAGAACTTTATCAAAATTTAAGCATGTTTTACTTGCTTGTTCGCCTATAACATTAAAGCAAATGTCTGCTAATAAATAGAAATTTACTCAACAAAAATTCTTACTCTCCCTTCCCTACACATTAAGAGTCTCTCATTTGCGACTATTTTATTTAAGAATACTCTCTCTTTAATTAGAATTCTCTGCCACTCTCTGTACGAGTAGCGAGGTTAGGGATGAAGCGAGCGACTAACTGCCTTTAAATAACGGAAAATTGAATGAAGACGTTCATTTATAAAAAAATTTTAAAGAATAATAATTAGAATAAATTGTTTTAAATGCTTAGCACTATTTCTAATTTAACTTTATAAAATTTTGTATAATGTTGTAATGAACAGTTTAACAGTTTAAAAATTAAGAGTAAATTTTTTAACATTTGTACATTGCCGCTCTCATAAAGACGGAATGTAGGATTAGTCCGGCGGGATCTCATCCAGTACTTTATTGATTTGCGGGATTTTTCTTATGTTGAGTTTAATTTTGTATTTTTGTCTTACCTCCAGTTATGCATCCATTTTATAAACTTTAAAATTTGAAAATTTTGCTCTTTTAAATTTTTTATAAATTATTTCAGTTTTCATAATATAGTGTTGAAAAAAAAGATAAGGCAAAGAAAGGTAAGAGAAAAAAATTCTACATGGAATATGTTTAATACCCATATATTCGCAACCGTTTTAGTGCACACCAGAATATTTTAAAATGCACTTCAGAATATTTTAAACACCTAAAAATGATAAGGGCATATTTATATAAGACTGGGGGGGGGCATATTTATATTTTTTAATCCCGATCACGATTTTTCTAATCCTGAGACCATAAGATGAACCCGATCCCGATTTCGGTCATTCCTTTGCATCAAATACCGATGCAAATCCCGATTTTATAAATTAACAAGAAGATTGGTAATGACTGCGAAAAAAGTTAACAGAAGAAGGAAGGCGTGAAAGCTAGAGAAAAACTGAAAAAAGAATAAATCTGTTTTTACAACCTAAGTGAAATGTTGAGTGATATGTAATATCGAGTAATCTACATGGGCTGAGGGGAATATCGGAAGATTTGGGGTATAGAAGGATATCGGTTGATTTAAAAGGATTGTGTTGGAGTTGAAAAGAAATCTTGGGCTTAAGAGATATTAGTAGATAATGAGTGATTAAGGCATAGAAGGATTAAGGTGAATAGATGATAAGATGTGTAAGGGGTAGCACTAGGGACTTTAAGAATTAACAAATGAGAAAAAACATTTCAAGCTAAAATTTTATTTCCGAAATTTAAATATAAAAATATGTGCAAGCGTGCCAGCAAAGGCCAAAAACGGCCGGCCGAATTCATAATAGAAAAGAATGTTTTTGGACGGTGACATATAAATATATTTAATATTTAATTAAGATTAAAAATGTTAAAACTAATTGTTTTAAACTGCTTTTTATTAATTTATTGTTATAATCTTGTTAATGGGAGTGGAGAAGGGTCTAACGAAGAAAATGAAATGTTTTTCGATGCAAAGGATGAATTCGACATTTCTTCTGAAATAGATGAAATTGATCAACATGTAAAGAATCAAATTGCTTGGATCTTGAAAAATGCTAGTGAATGTGATGAACAAGAGAAATGTGTAAATATGTTTTTGAATGATATGGCGATGTTTAATGATCAAGCCCGATTTGGAGGCATTGCTGCATTTTGCGACAGCTTGAAGATTGTAGGGAACGGAAAAATTGGGAATCCAATCAGGGTACTTTTTCAATTTATATATTTTCAGCAATTCACAAAAATCTAAATATTTTTCATAAAAAATTTTTAGGACCTTCTCAATGCTGAAATTAAAAATGAGGACGCAAATACTCGTTTAAATCTTTACATCAAATGTGTTGATCATTTTTTCACTAAAGATAAAGGGCTCTTTCAAATGAAAAATTCTAAACACTTGGAATTCTCAGAGATTAACAAAAAACTTCTTCGAGCATTTTTGCTTACCAAACCTTTGTATATTTCAACTATAATGTACGAATCAATTCAAAAGAAAAACTCAAATGCTTTATTAGAAATTGTTTCCACTCAAAAATTAGAGGATTTAAATGTGGCAATGAAGATAATGATAGCTCTTCATCCAAATTTAAAATTGGATAATGATAAAGTAGATTTTAATGAGTTTTCAAAGGTTCAAAATGTGTTCGATGGTGAGAAACTTGAAAAATTTTTAAATTGGCGTTTTGACCCAAATTGCAATGAAAAGCCAATAGAAGATAAGGTTAGTTTTTAAAAGTTGAATTTGAACCTTAGCAAGAATTGTAAAATTTATTCTCAAATTTTAGATAGGATGGTTAAAAGGACAAATAAAAAAGATACAGAATTATATGAAAAATCCTGAACAAAAGTGCCTAGAAAATCCTACTATTGGCCAATACATGGAAATATTGGAAAGTAAAAACGAACTGAACAATTTTTTACTTTTTCGTTTCGATTGTACATTGAAACCCTTTGCAAAAACAAATCCAACTAGAAACTCCTTTCATATGGACACTTTGATGCGCTCAATTATACTTTCATATAGCGTTGACGGAGAAAGCATTACTCATCTAATGAAAGTAAATGAAAAGAAAGAGCTTGAAGACAAAATTAACGATGCTTATTTTAATCTTCAAGGATGGAATGACAAAGTTTTCAAATACGCGTGCAAACGCTTCTTAAATCTTGGTAAGTTATATTTCTCTCGATGGGTTATATATAGGTTTTTTAAACATTTTTAAGTTATTCATCCCCTTTAAATTTGCAATTTACAGACAATGCTTCCCAAGTGATGTCCTACAATCGCTTTATTGAACATTATGGAGAAAATATTATAGCATTCACAAATGCTTTAACAAATGTTGAAAATCTAGTTGACATAAAAATTGAAAGCAAAAAAGTCAAAATTACAAATGATAAACTCTTTAATGAATTGAATAAAGTGCCAGGCTCTTCTATTCTCAAAGACCTTATTAAGGGGATAAATGATGGCATTTTGTTGCAGTTGGGTAAATTAAATACTGGAAAGATAAACGAGCAAAAGGGAAATGACTTGATTTTATTCATCTCTAATCATTTGCGTGCAGCATATTTAGCATTGGCTCTAGCATTGAATCACGTTGTGGAAAAAGTAGATGATAACGAGATCAAAGTTAAAGTTATTATTTTAAAAATATCTAACGTGCAATTAGACAAGATTAAATCAGTTAATTTTGATTTGATTAAAAAATTGTTGGATGAAATTTCTATAAAATTGTCTAAACAGCACAGTGATTTTGTTAATGATTTGATAAATGAAATGATAAATTTGATCAATAATATTGATTTTAAATGTGAGTAACTTATATTGATTTTTAACATGTATATAGCTAGGTATTCATAATTGTTCCAATTTGACCCAAGTTCCTTCGGCACAAAAAGAAAGTAGTTATTTTGGCACGTGAAGTAGACTGCTGGACAGTCGACTATTTTCTCCTTTCGGTCGATTATTTTTAGCTGTAAACAGTCGAATGTGTTGTTGTAGGGCCATTAAAATAGGAACACGGCCATTTAATCGACTGTGAATAGTCGATTGTTGTTCTGTTGGAAGTGCGATAGTCGATTAGTTAATCTGATGTTGTTTGCTGAAATGCGACTATTTAAATAGTCGACCGTTGTCACCAAAGCACTCGCAAGGCAATAATATTCAGAGAAGGGTGATTAAGGTAGTTGACCGAGGGCGATTAAACTAAAAGAAGAAAAGCCACTAAAAATTATTATTTTTTCAGTAAGTGGAGATTCAAGTAACAATTTCTCACCAGATTTCGTTGATTTTCGAGCAATACAACTTTTTGATAATGGGGAAAACAAAAGTTTTGTGGATCGTTTAATTGAGAAAATATTCAAGTATTTGAAGAGACCAATTGATTGGATAAGAAATAAAGCTTCAAACAGCAAAAACACTGTGTTCCTTAATGAGTTTAAACAAATTAATTCGTTTGTGGTTGTTATTGAAAATTTTATAATGAAGAAAATACCAATAGAGAAGCTTTATTTTAAGCTCAATGGAATAAAAAAACACGGAGAAAAATTGTCGGAGAAATTACGAGTTTTTCTCAGCAATTTCGTCAAAAATTTAAACAATAAAAACAAATTAAGTGAAGAATTTTTAAAATTATTTCCATATTTAACAGCCTTCGGCAATGTTTTAAACCAAAAGGACATAGGTTTATCAAAAAAGGATGTCGACAGAGCTACAGACAATATAAATAAAATGACAAAGAATGAACTTAAAAAGTCCATTGATGAAATAGTTAAATATATTAAGGAATTTGAGAGTAATATTAAAACTAATTTGGATGAAAATCCTGTTAAAAATGAGAAGAATAATTGGCCAAATATGAAAAAATATTTTTTATCTAAAATATATGTTGGTTTAAATTTATTAAAAAAATATAAGTCGCTTTTGCGAATTTACTTACACTGGCGAAAATATTCTAGGAAGATTTGCGAAAATAAAATGAAAACAAAACACATCATAGAATTATCCTGGTTTTTATTCTAATAAAAAGCCGGACGCTATTTTTAAAATTAACTCTTTTGAATTAAAAATTTTTCCGCAAATTGGGAGTATGATATAAATTGTAAAATGGTGTTTGTCATGATTTTGTCATAGATAACAACCTAAAAAACTCGCTCTGGTTATCATAAGCTTGTAGTGACTCTCCCCGAGGCTTAACCGATAAATTAAAAAATTTATTCTAAATAGTAAAGTATCTGTTTTTGGATTTTTTAATCCTATAATAAATTAAATTTCAGAAAAAGACAAATCAATCGCAGATGATTAGAAAGAAACGTTATTATAGCAGTGGACCAATTTTTGGTAAAAGACCTGATGCATTTATTTCACATACAATAGTTAGTGGTCTGATTATTGTTCTAGTATTTTTTAAAGCAATTGGATTGTATGAGTTGAGATGTCGCTTCCCCGAAGTTAATTTACAAAATTTTTTACGTCGAAGGCAAAACTCTCCTCTTACAATTCATCGACAACGCGAGCAAGAACTACGTGAACAATATTTTCATCCTCAGCCAAGTTATCCTCATCGCTATTCAGAACGTAATCAATATTATAATGAAAATCCATACTATCGAAATACAGAAAGAAATAATATGGCTTTAGGTCGTCAAAACGAGCCAACAATTCATCGAGAAATGCATCGACAAGATTTTCAGCCTCGTCCAAATATTCCTGATCAATATGATGAAGAAAATCCTCCACAATTGTCCTCCGTTTCATCATTTATATCCGATGATGCAGAAGCGTATCAATTTGTGTTTGATAGTCAACCACGTCCCCGCCGAAGCATTCAAAAAGGTTTAATTTATTTATTAAGGGGACACTTTAGCCGCTTTTTAGAATGGGCTATTATCTGATATAGAATTTTTGACATAAAAATCTCTTGGCCAAACTATAAGGAGTTGCATTGAAATAATCTAGCTTATAAGATATCGAAAAATCACTTCGCTGTTGAGAACATTCCATTTAAATGGACTATTCAGAAAATTAAAAATATTTTAGGTAATTACTGCCAAAACAAAGCGAATGGAGGAACATGTAAAAACACTATAAGCTTCCACAAGGATGATATAAAAAACAATTTGGAATTTTTTAAAAAACAAGGATGCCTTAACGATATTTTAAATAACGTAACTGAAGGTCAAGAGAATATTCGGAAAAAACGTTATGTTTATTGGGATTGTGGAGTTTGGTTTTATTGGGGGATTATTTTGTCTCTTCTTTGTCTTTATGCTTTAGGGTTTTATCTTATTGCAGCGCATGTTCATTGAAAATTTATTAGAGTTTGGGAAAATGGAAAGTTATGATATTTTTATTTAAAAGAAGGGAAATTTAAAAAGAAAATACAAAAAAACACAACAAAACACAAAAAATACAAAAAAACACAACAAAACACAAAAACACAAAAAATACAAAACACAACAAAACACAAAAAAATACAAAAAAACACAACAAAACACAAAAAATGTATGTACGCTGTGTCAGAAAATGATAGACGCACCTGTAGTTCCTGTCATACCTCGTGTTATATTTAAAAAATATTTAGCAAATTTTTATTAAGTATATCCATCCTAACATTTAAAACGATAAATTGAAAAAAATTTCTAGAAAATATCGTAAATATAGCACGAGATATGAATAAAAATACGGGTGCGTCTATCATTTACTGAAACAGTGTTTTATGTAGATATTTTTATACACAAATATTTATCGTGATTTTTACCAAGATTTTCACACATTTATTGGTTCTTGTCCAGTCTTATCATTCAGTTCAAATGAGGAAGATATCACTTAGAAAATGCATTCTAAAGTTCCAATCCAACAAAATTTACATGACACAAAAACTGGACAAGGGCCAATGTTTTACATACAGATTCACATAAAAATTTATCTTTAAAAGATATTTTTAAATTTTGGGATATTTAATTTTTTATATTTAATTTTTTAAATTTCATACATTTAATCTTTGTATAAAATTTTTTTTGGGTTTTTGAGTCTGCCTATAAATATCATAATTAGTGATCGGTAAAATCGATTTTTCCAGACCCAGATTCCGGATTTGCAACTGAACCGGACAGAATCCGGTCAGGTTTTAATCCGGTAAAAATAATTTACGGAGACTTATATTTGACTCACTTTCATATTTTTTTAAATGGCTTCTGTAGTTCTATTAATTTGTGTCCAAATTTAAAAATTAATTCAATAGTTTTTTAAATTTACTTTATTATATCAATGATTTTTAATTGCCATTCAGTTGTAAAATTCTGAGAATATATAGCTGCACTCTCAGGTCTAACTACTTGACGAAATGTTGTTATTTTTATATTAGAATGTGTAAAGACGTAAAATTTTAATTCTCTCGTGCATCTTCGGCCAGAATACGTCGTATAATCGTCTTTTTTATCCGTAATGATAACAGAATAGTACCTCCTGATTATGATTTACTTTTAAAATTAATTTAAATATTTATGATAAAGATGTTAGAACTCTTAATTATTACAAGCTAAACTAAAAATTTGAAGTAACTTTATGCAGAATACTACACTATAATTGATCAGATTATTATGAAACGTATATGATTCGAAAGAACGTAAGCGCTATCTGTTTTACAACTCGATGATCGAATCTGGTTGTCTATTTAAAAGCTTCAATTTTTAAGTGCACCAAGTTACGAATGATACAATTTCATACTAATTTAATTAATTATAAAAAAAGGCATAGCTTATCAAATTCGAAATAAGGATGATGAAAAGGAAATGCAGGGATATACTAGAGAGACTTGTTCCCAGATCTCGAGGAAAGGCAGGTCTTCAAGGCGATTACTTAGGTAACGAGTAATTGATACGCAGTATCACATGTACCATATTGTTGAAAATCCTTGAATAAAAATTTTAATTTTTAAAGTCAAGTTCTCTGATCTCGCCAAGTGGTACGCGTAGAATTTCTATTTAATATTGAGGAATTTCACGGAATTCACATTCAGCACAATCGCCACAATCATTACAAATGCGTCGAAGTCTCTCTAATGACTTTAAGAGACCTATGTTATTTTGCTCATCTAATTTTTATTATTAAGCATTATTTGAAGATGAATATTCTGAAGAATAATTCGATGCAACGAATGCTCAACTTTTTAGAGAAATAATCTGAAAGAATAAACCTTAAAGCTAAAATCTGATCTAATAATTTTTAGAGACCTATGTTATTTTGCTCATTTAATTTTTATTATTAAGCATTATTAAAATAGATGAATATTCTGTAGAATAATCTGAATACTCAACTTTTTACAAGAATAATCTGGAAGAATAATACATAAAGCTAAAATCTGATCTAATAATTTTTAGAGACCTATGTTATTTTGCTCATTTAATTATTATTATTAAGCATTATTTGAATAGATGATTTTCTCTAGAATAATTCGATGCAATAAATGCAATTATTCTATAAAATATTCATCTATTCAAATAATGCTCAATAATAAAAATTAAATGAGAAAAATAACATAGGTCTCTAAAAATTATTAGATCAGATTTTACCTTTAAGAATTATTCTTTCAGATTATTTTTCTAAGAAGTTGAGCATTCATTGCATCGAATTATTCTACAGAATATTCATCTTCAAATAATGCTTAATAATAAATATTAAATGAGCAAAATAACATAGGTCTCTAAAAATTATTAGATCAGATTTTAACTTTATGTATTATTCTTTCAGATTATTCTTCTAAAAAATGCCTTGCACACGCAGTTGTTGTACACATCTACAAATTCCTTCAATGCCTTGACAAATTTTGAAGGCGCAAAAACGGCAGTAGAACAAACGGCAGTAGGTTCCGGGCCAAGTAGGAAGGGCCTTCGATAATTAAAGGTTTTTTTCAAATAAATATATAAATGTATACCCGAGACAAATTGAACGACAGAGTTTTGCTGATGTTGTTGCTGCTGATGTCGTTGCCTCACCAACAACTAATTGGTGAGACAACGACGTTTTCGATTTTTATTATACATTTTCACGAATATTTTGATTTCGTGATCTAGGATTTTTATAAGTAAATTTTTATAATAAAACAACTAAATGATTATTAAAACAAGGTATTATATTATATTCCCAAAAAAATTTTAGTGCCGCAGGTGAAAATTTTGAGAATTATTTGGAATGCCAATGCAACTACTGTGATTTCAAGAAAGATTTTTGCATGGAAAGATTTTGCGACAAATATTTTTGCATGGTAATGCTTGCCGTTATTGCAAAAAATTTTAGTTACAAGTCCTAACCCAAATGATACTTTCCGAACCGAAGAATAAATTAATCCATTTACAATGAGTCGTTACAAAGATAATCTCGACCAATGTTAAGGATAATCTCGACCAATGTTTATTCGGATCTGAAAATTAATTTTTATTGATGATTTTTCAAGAGTATTATGAATTTAAATAAAATCAAAAATTTAATAACGATCAAAACAGGTTAATAAACATGGCTGTGACTACAAATGAAAATAAAATTATGAAATAGAGTTCTCAGTTACTATTTTGCTGCCATTTATTAACTGCTGACATTCAATCATTTAAAGATAAATTATTTTAATACACTAATAAAAACACCTAATAATAATAAAAAAAATATTCAATCAAAGCATAATTTTTATCAATATTATTTTTTCAATGAAATTCAAAAAATTATTAAATACAGAAATTATTTTGGGAATGGTAGAAAAACAGAACGGAATCTTTAGTTAATAGGCTCTGTTGATAACAAAATTCCACCCCGATTTTTTGAGTTTAGGCATGATTTTAAAGCCTAGCTTAACTGATACTATTATAAAATGATAAATTATCTAAAATGGATATTACTCAGAAAAAAAATTTTTAATTAGTGAAAAATTGAAAATATTATTAAAAATTTTTGAAACAATAGGCAAAAAATGGGGTACGAGTAAAAAGTAGAGTATTTTCTCTTACTTGGTATTACTAGAAAAATCGAAAGAAATGTTTAATTTCTTTCAATGCGCTTTATGACGTGCGACCGAGTTTTTGGCCATCTAAAATTATTAAAAATTTTGGTTCTAGTTTAGGACATGCGTCCCAAAAAAGAGTAAACGTCCCAAAAAAGTGTATGCGTACACTACCATGGGGTGCATATCCTAAACTAGAGGCATAATTTTACATCAATTTTTGTTGCTAGACAAAATAGAGTTTTATTAATTCTAATTCATTTTCTTTATTTTCTGTTGTCGATTGTAACAAGCATGACAAATATAGTGTTCAGGTTTTGAATGACGGTACCAATGTGGTGTTTTTGCTACACCGCAAATACTACAATTTCGATCAGGTGTGATACGCTAAAATATTTATTAAATAGTACTTTATTAAAGTAGATTTGTCATTAGAAATGGGCTATTTCTCTTAGAAAGTTTAGTTAATAATCTAATTATATAATGTGCATAAAAATCGAAGTCTTAATGAGATGTACTTTTTGGTAAGAATGGTTTCAGGTTTTGTAATGAAAATTTTTATGAATGATGAATGAATCTTTAGGGGATGATGAAATTAAATTTCTCGTAATTGCTTTAAAAGATTTTTGCAAGCAATATAATCTCTTTGCTAAAGAAAGATTATTACAACTAAAGCAAAATAAAGAGAATTTAGATTGAAAGTCTGACCATCATATACAGTGAGACTCAAAATAAGGGCATAAAGTAACAAAGTTTTAATTAATTTGTTTTTGAGAATGGATTTTTAAAAATCTTCCCATATTGATAAATATAACCAACCATATTAGTTTTAAACCATAATTCATTAGATCTATACTTTCCAAATTTGTGTTTATATTCGCCACATTGTTTGCACAAGTTAAG